GGCAATGACAGCGAGGAAATTTCCTACATCTTTGGTTTGGCTCTATGAACCTGACTTATAATGAGTCTAAGTATCCCTCTTATTACTTTGAAAGTATAGGATAATGGAGGATAACATTAAAGTTTTCTGCTTTCATTTTGTTTCATAATTCAGTAACTAACAGTATTGCGAAGCTTCTTAGATTCTCCTTCAAGTATCTTCTCATAGCATGATTTGCTTCTGGGTCATGGAAGTGCCATATACAAGCTCACTTTTGAGGAAGACTTACACTATGGTCAATCTTGGTTGCCCAGGTTGTGTGATAGGATGGATTAAAATCCCATTCCCAATAAAGAGTATATCAGGAATGTTGTTCTGTAGATTGCATAATTTCTTGTAAAAATCTTTAGTCTGTATGCACTCATGTCAGAACTTTGATTCCAGATGGATATTTCCAATATGCCATCTATATATATGCCTTAAAATACTGCTCTGATCTCTTCTTCCTTCTCCCAGCAAATGAATTATTTATAATTCTTTTCATAAAGAGATAATCAGCTAAAGAGCTTTCTTAAAGGTGGCAAAACTAAAAAGCAAATTAGTTTTATGATTTCAAAAAATTAGCTGACTATTCATTTATTATAATGTTTTCAGACTACCTTAGAACTCTCAAAGGAAGGATAATAGTCTAGTACAGTGCTATAAGTTTTCCTTTATAGACAGAATAAGCCATTTAATCTTGACAGACTCCACTGTTTTTGATTTTCTGCCATCAAACAAATAGTAGTTGTGATTAATAGCATTTTGTCCACTAACCAAAACCATTTATAATGTATACCTGGAATATATTCCAAAATGGAGGATAACATTACAGTTTAAAAGAAAGTTCAACAACCAAAAAAATCAGTATCAATTGGGAGAAAAAGCTTTTATGAAAGTACTTTTAAGACCCATGGAAAAGAAATTTTTAGATTTTTCATTAAAGAAAAAGTAGAAGAAAAACCTTTAGGAGAATTGATGGGAAATACTTTTTCCCATTTTAAGACGAAAATCATACTAGGTATTATCAATGTCTGTGCTCAAAGTATGTAGAAGATTCTCTGAAATTGAATAGAGCATTGTACATTTTTTATTAGCTAAAAAGAACCTCCCACTGCCACTTATTTTCTGCCATCAAGCTAAAAATTCTAGAATGGTGAGGGCAGCAGGGTAGGTAGAGTGCTACAGTCCTAGAAAAACAGTAGTATCCAAAAATTGACTCTACATTTTCATAATTACAGGGAGTCACAGTTCCTCTCACCACATAGAGATGAAAGAGATAAAAGCAAAACTGAGAAGAGAAGTGATGTGGTAACATGCTCCTCAAGCCGACTTGCAAACAGATTAGCTTTGGGGAGTATTCTTGCAAAAATTATCAACCTAGAAAAATTTGCCAGATGGATACATGTGGGAAAGGCAAAACAAAATGGAAATATCATTGTATGGAGCATATGTTCTCTCATTAATTCATTCAATTATGCATTTATTTATTCAATCCACAAATATGTATTGAGTTCCAATAACCAGAAAAGCACTGGGCTTAAGCAATAAGAAGTGATCTCCCTCCTCATAGAGGAGAAGAGAATTTACATTTGTTGAAGGCAAACTGTGGCCAGGGACTCCACGTAACTTACATCAACTCTGTCAAGTTTTTTTTTTTTTTTTTTACATTCCTCCTTTTACATCTGAGGAAACTGAGCCTCACAGAGTTAAAGAGGTTGTTTGAGGTCAGGCAAATAGTGGCAGAGTTAGACTTCCAGACTCTCTTTGTCTCTGAAGCCCACTACACCATGGTGCCTGTAATCTGGCAGGAAAGGCAGAAAGATGCACACTGGCCCATAACACAGGCCAGAGATCAGGACGAATCCTACGAGAAAGATGGAGGTGACTTGCTCCAGGGCACGCAAGAGGAAGCTGTTCATTCTGCTAGTCTCTAGGTTGCCTCTCCTGACCCAGAGACGTTGGCATTTGAGCTGGGACTTGAAGGCAAATGGGGAAGTGCATTTCAGGTACAGACAGGAAAGTGCAATGCAGGTTGAAGAAACAGCTTATAATCTCACAGGGCTGGAAATGGTGTTTCTCATACTTGTTTTATTTATACTACAGTTTTGAATTTTAGGTTATTTGGCAACAGACCTGAACAGTGCCATGGCCAGCAAACATTACAATACAATGAGTCTCATGGGCTTTGAAGTTAGACTAGAGGCTTTGAATCTCAGCTTTGCCACTTGTCACTTGTGGGAACTGGAAAATCATTTAAGCCTGGTTTGATTAAATGGGGAGGATCATCAGGAGGCGATTTTAAGGAGAATATGAGTTGATATATGTAAGTTTATAGCACATGGTATACACTCACTAAATTGGCTGTTATGAATACCACATCACAATAATATCTGAGGATATCTAGTAACAGCACTCAGTTATTGCAGGATTCTCTTGCCTTTTGTACCACGGCATGTCTGAACAGCACTCTACTATGCAGTACTGACTAAGCTCTCCTATGTACTCACAGGGCATACCTTCAGTGACATTCTATTTCTTTCCTGCTGGCTTGCTGTTTTTTTGGGCTTCTTCTACTCTCAACAAACAGAATCTTCTTTATTGCATTGAAGGACCCACTTGACTTAATGTATAATTTGGCAGATTATCACAGAATAATGTGCATATTGAGGTTCAGCAAAAACTATTTTACCCACTCATCACTTTGATAGCACATATGGGGAGGATCCAGAGTGTACCCTGGCCTAGTGGTGGAGAACCAATGGTACAGAGTGGGCTATGCTGGGGGTGGGGGAAGGGTACAGGGGAAGGAGAAGGGTGGCAGATTTCAGTCAGGTTATGGTCAGATTGGAAAGGAACTTAAATACCATGCTGAAGGATTTGGTCTTGATCCTGTAGAAATGGAGAGCCAAGGAAAAAATGAAAGTAGGTGGATAGACTGAATTGTGCTCCCGCCATTCCTATGTTGAAGCCCTAACTCCATGTGTAACTGTATTCTGAGATAGGGCCTTCAGGGGGGTAATTAGGGTTGAATGAGGTCATAAAGGTGGGGCTCTAATGATAGGACTTGTGTCTTTATAAGAAGAGGAAGAGACACCAGAGTTCTCTCCCTGTGCCATGTGAGGACCGAGTGAGGAGTTGGCCATCCACAGGCCAGGAAGAGAGGTTTCATCAGAAACCAGCTATGATGGTGTCTTGATCTCATACTCTCAAGCCTTCAGAACTGGGAGAAGGTAAAATTCTGTTGTTTATGCCACTCAGGCTGTAATATTTTGTAACTGCAGCCCTAGCACCCTAATACAGAAGGAGAGAAGCATAATTGGACTTGGGTTTTAAGAAGTTAACTAGTACACTGTGGAGGACTGCTTTGCATAGTCTTTGGTCAACTCTATATATTCTTTGAAACTCAGCTCCTTTGGAAAGATTTCTTGATTCCTTAAGTTTCATTTTGATGTTCTTCAATGTGTTCCCATAGTATTATGTGCATATACATCTATCGTAATAATGTATCATAATTCTTGACTTTAATTGGATGTCTCTCCCACCAGACTATAAACTCCTTGAAATCAAGGACCACATGTTACCTTTGTATTCCCAGCATCTTGTATGGTACTTAGCACTTGGTACTTCTCAATCAATATCTATAGAATTAAGTAATTAATATAGAAGACCCCGAGGCAAGGAAGCCAGTTTTAAGACTACTGATATAATAGCTCATTAGCAGAACATCCACTTGTAACTCACATCATCTTAATTGTTTGACAAAACATGATAAGAATTGACAATAGTTTGTCTTTAGTCTTTATTTCTAATGTCTTCCAAAAACAAAATTAAAAAGTGCTGAGGAAGTTGAATTTAATGATTTTTACATCACTAAAAATTAGGCTCCATCTGCCCATTACGTCCTGGTACAAACACATAGTGCCCAATATCCTCAAGAATGAAGAAAATGCTGACCAATTATAATCACCTCATTTGTTTGGAGGAATCACCAATAGTCTATAGAGTGAATTAATGTGATCGGCAAATACAAATGCATTATTCTATAATCTATGTAGAATTCCCGATAAGTCTTTCAGAGTTTGCCAGTATATCCAATGATTAAAGACATTAGGTCCAAGTGAATCTTCTGTCTTTGCTTTTATAGTGCAGGAACAGTTACAGGAATGGAACTTATCCATTAACCAAACAAAATATTCCTATAAATCACTGTATTAACTGTGGAGTTTAAGTCTGTGCCTGCATCATGAAAAGCAAAGAAGAGATGTTGTCAGAAAGAGATGTGTTCAGTTGATTTGACTATGCTAATTTGTTCAATTTCCATCTTTAGTCAAAAGGGTTCTAGATGACAGACTCATTCCTCGGGTCAGTTGATTTTGACCTATTAAGATGGTCAATTCTATTTGATTTTTCCAGTTATTACAACATTCTTAGAACATTGTATATGGTTTAGGGCTTTATTGGATGGAAGGTGTGCGAATCCATTTTCCCCCATTTCCCTCTGATTCTCTTGTTCCTATATACCCTTGGGCTTTTGCAGGGACTGAGAATAGCCAAAATTTAATGGAATTTTTAAATCTATTATATATAATAATCTATATAATTATTTAATCTTCAGTTAAAATTCCAATAAAGGGGGGCGCCTGGGTGGCTCGGTCGTTAAGCGTCTGCCTTCGGCTCAGGTCATGATCCCGGGGTCCTGGGATCGAGCCCCACATCGGGCTCCCTGCCCGGCGGGAAGCCTGCTTCTCCCTCTGCCCCTCCCCCTGCTTGTGTTCCCTCTCTCGCTGTGTCTCTCTGTCAAATAAATAAATAAAATCTTTAAAAAAAATTCCAGTAAATGTTCTCTAATTGCTCAAGCTGATGTACCAGAAGTAGAAAAATTTTACATATTTGTGTTCAAAAAGGATAACTGGAATTATTTAGAAAATAATAATGAATTTCTAATGAAAATCAGATGACCTTCTGAAATACTGGCCTACCTTTTGGAGATACTTTTTTTTCTCCTCAGATGCCTGAATCTTTATGGTTTCAGTGGTGACATCAGTAGTCTCTAAAGGAAATAAAGTCAAATTCAATCTGAGATAATTTTATCACGATTTTATAATAATGTTGATATAAACTTGGATAAATGTTAAAAAGTAACAGAATAGGAAGGTAAACACAAGTATGTACTGTCCTGAAACTTTACAAACCGATTCATAAATAACTGGAGACTGAATTAATTAGCTATGGCCGAAGGGAACCTCTAATCTCTTTAGAAGAGGAGTAAGCCTGAGTCCAGTGACAAGAAAAGGTCTCTGAAGAGAACATCTTTGCAGTAAAAGAGTTTCCAATTTCTGCATTTCTATTCAACGTGTTAGGGGACTTTAGACGTTCTCCTCCGGATGAGTAGGATGGCCTCTGAGACAGGGTTTTGGTATGCAATTCAGAAAGTTATGCCAAAGTGTAAAGATGTCTCCTTATACTTATTACCTATTTTCTGAAGGATCTAGGAATCAGGATGTTGAAATGCCTAAGACTTGGTACTTACTATTTTTCTCAAGGCTAAAAGGCTGGAAGTAAATTTTCTCCAAAAAATACAAAAGGGAAGTGAAGAAATTATTGGAAAGACCATAGCATTAAAGATATTTAAGCTTTCTAAAAAAAGGTGGGGTATTTAAGCTTTCTATACCTATAAAAATTGCATAATAACAGTTTCCATATCTTTGGCTTACTAAGGTTTTACAGGTCTGGGAACTTGGTTCCTAATACTGATTCTGCTTTCAACTTTCTCTGAGGCTTTCATGTTTGAACTTGATTATGTAAACAACCACCCTTAACATCCTTTCAGTCAACATATAATATTTCCCCCAGATTATTCTATACTGTTTAGCCAAACAGATGCCATAACCTAAGAGATACTTTCAGATGTGGTTTTAGATGTAACAAATATAGCACTGACGCTTTCCGGGTGGAAGGACTGCTGAGTTTAAAAAAAAAAACAAAAAACTGTATAGGGTTTTCAGACATTTGAAATGAAAGATTCTTATTTTAAGAAATAGGTTCGGCGGTTACTGGTTACAGATACCAGTGGCTCTGGTATCTTCCAGGTTGGTTACTGATGATGGAGGCAGAAACCAGTGGCCCAAGGCAGCTACTCACCAGGCGGACTGCGCCGAGAGGGTTGGGCCACCGGCAGGCGCTGACTGCTACCTCGGGATAGCACCAACCGAGATTCGTTAGGAGGGTACATCGACGCTGCGATCCAGAACTGCTTGGCCAAGTTGGAGTCCCATTCTGAAGTTCCGGTGAACACCAGTAATCCCTGGGGGCAAATTTCAACGGACTCCTTGTGGCCGGGAAGCTTTCCGCTGGCCCTTGTTTCCATGGCAACTCAGGACGCTTCTCTGCGTTCCCTCGCTCTTCTCCCAGCCCCGCCCTGCGGAGAACCGTCAAGTTGGCAACCACCACCGCCAGAAACCCTTTGATTCCTGAATAGATGCTGGGGTCCAGCGCGTGCCTGTGGACGATCTGAAGCCCACTTCTGCGGTATCACAGGCTTCAGGACCAGTCTAAGCCTTGGCAACCAGATAGGAGGAGTCAAAACATCAGGTTTGGGGTGGTTCTTGTCCTGTTGGGAGTCAGTAGGGCAGCACTTGAGTTCTCTCACCACCTCAGTCAGCCTTCAACTCCCCCCCTCCCCAGTTTCCTTCCCTCCAAATATACCCATATATCTAAATAAAGCTTTTCAACTCTTAGCCCTACCACCCCAATCCACCTCTCCTTCCACACCAGATTGCCACACTTCGGCCCGCCCTATGTGGATAGTGGTTGGAGAATTCAATAGGGCAGCTAACATCCTAGCCCATGGGAGCCAGAGCACTGAACTGGGCTGAGAAGTACCTGTGTATAAAGTTCTTGTTGTATATCCCCCTCTGCCCCATCCTTTAAGGGAAATCTCATGGAAGAAACTGGATTTAGATTGTAAGTGCCTTTACAAATCAGTCCCACTAAAAGCTGCCTGCACTGCAACAGTCCTAAATGATCACTTAAAAGGACTATATCTGATGTGTGGACTCAGTCCCTTCCTGAAAAATAAATTATGAAAAATGTTAATGTATTTTTATAAAAATATTAATAAGTGTGAATAAATAACTTTCCTGGGAGATTTCATTAACCTAGGAACAATCTAACCATTTCAGCCATAGCAAAGTTGCAATTAGTGTGGCAGGAATTGAGATGGACATCATAAAGCCAACTTAGGAAAGGTAATAACCACAACTTATGACCTTATGGCACTTTATTCTTTCAAAATACTAATACAGTCTCACAGACAGTTCAAAAGTTGATAATCACAAGTCTATACAATGACATAGATCAGTGAAGGAAAAAATCCTAGTATATATCTAAAATTTTTTGGTTAAGAGCCTGAAGGAAATTGATAAATTATAAAGACATATGAATTTTACATTGTGTATTTAGCTGCTAAAATACTGATTTTTCTCTTGGATAAGCTATTAATAGACAATGGGTAATACTGGAGCATTTCCAAACCCCACCTTTCCCCAAACACACCATTGTGCACAGACAGCTCCTTTGGATGATTCCCAAATCTTTTTACCTGGCCGTGTGGTTAGTGATTGGTACTATTAGCAATCAGCTAACTACACTGCCTAGTAACTAGACTCACAGAAAAAAAAAAAAAGGTTTACTTCCATCATGCACTGCAGTCCCAAGTTGGTGCCCCACACGTTGTGATAGACAAATCATATTGGTTCATCAGTTCAATTGTAGCTCACTTTAGTTGGTGGGTTGGTGAACACCTTACTAAATAATGAACGAGAGGCAGAATGAATCACAGTATACAGAATTAAACGTTACATTGGGGGGGGGCTCCTCCCCAAAGTCTAAATGTCATCACAGCTCACAAAGCCATTAAACTTTACACATGTTGCTCTCCTTGCAGGCAGATTGACCAATCTTGCTTTTACTCCTCGGGGTAGCTAACAGTTTAACTGCGTCTAGCAGCAGCCGTCCGGCTAGTTTGCTGGAGTGTCCTCGCAGGTTGACAACGTGCTGGGCGGGCAGCGCTGTGCCCAGCAAATGCTGACGCATCAAATCTCGCAGCGCAGCTTTCTCCCAACGCTCGGGGTTGGCCGTTTGCCGCCGAGGGTGGCGTCCTCAGGCCCGTGGGGCGGTGGGTGATGCTGTGCCTTGTTTTGATGGCAGTGGAGTTAGTGATTGTAAGCACCAGAGTACAATCAGCTAATTACACTGCCTACAAACCGAGCACCGGGCGCCCGCGGGCTGCAGCTCCCGGACGGTCGGCAGCGCCAACGCCGTGGCCCCGAGCCGGCGGCCCTCGGGGTCCGGGCCACGTCTCCCCCCCGGGCTGTGCCCGACGGTGCCTGGGCGCAAGGACCTGGGCGCGGGGCCCTGGACGACGCCCCGGACCCAGCCGGCACCCCCGCCCGGCTCGCGGGCTGCGCTGGCCCCTGCCGGACCCCCGCGCACACTTGGCATGGCAGGGCCAGCGGGCAGCGCTCGGAGGGGACCTGCACCTCCCGGGCCGAACCCCCACCCCCCAACTCCCGGTGTTCCCGGGTTCATCCCAGCCGCCGCCATCCCCGCGCCCGTCTCGGTGCCTCCCAGGGCCCTACCCCGCAGGTTCCCTTCCCGGGTCCTCCCCTCTACGCTTTCTCGAGTCCTGCTCCCACCTCCTCACTCCCCCGTCCGCTCCTCCCCGGAAAACTTCTCTTCAGTCCCCAGCCCAAACCCTAGAGCCGGCTCTCTCAACCCTGTGCGCCCCGCAGCTCCGAGTGGCCGAGTGACCGTGGCCGTGGCTGGCCAACCGCCCTTGGAACCCCGTGGCGGAGGGGGCGGGGCGCGCGCGAGGTGGGGTGGGGTGGGGGAGGGGCGGGGTGGGGGAGGGGAGGAAGCCAAGAGCTGGGGCCGAAGGTGGGTCCCTGCAGGGAAGAGGCCCTGGGGACTGAGGCACCGATATCTGAGAAGTTTCTCTTCCTGATAGGGCAGGAGGGACCAAGAGCTCCTTCTCCCCTACCACTCCCCAAGAAGCCCCACATGCCCACCCAGTTTTCATGCCCATCTTTGTCAGGGAAAACAGCTTGGCCTGGTACCAAACTGTAGACTCTAATTTTCCAAAGGGAGATAGGCCTCGGTGGCCTCTGGCATGTGGGACAACTGCCTTGGAGAGTCCCATCTGTACTCGCCTTCCTCCTGGGTTTCTCTTACACTCTTGGAGGGCCATGGAAGGAGGTGGAGGGTTGGCTCTTTTCATCAAATAGTGAGTGGGCTCAAGAGTTAGATCAAAGCTTGGTCCTCACATACTTGAATACCTGCTATATGTTCAGCACCTAAGGTCATTCATTCTACCCTCCATATGTATAATCTAGGTGGTTACACAATGTGAACACACATTATCTACCACTCAAGACAGTATATAATAAATTGTTAAACTGGGGAGAAATATAAGAGGGTGGGGTGGGGCATCAGTGAGGACTGTAATTGTCAGGGAAGGCACATGGAAGGTGCCAGGTTCCAACTGGTCCTCCAAGCAAGACTAAATTGGGATATTCAGGGTGAGGGCTGGGGAGGCCAGAGAAACAATGTCTTGTCACCATTTACATTTTCTTCTCACAATTCCACATCTGATGATGTAGATGTATTTATGTGTGTGTTCAGACTAGATTGAACAAAAGAGGACAGTTACAGAGAATTTCTGGGAGACCTCTACTAATACCTCTTTCCTTGAGTTACTCCTTCCCCTCTTTTCCTTCAATGAATGCGTCAGGAAAGGATAAAGAATATTCTAATTCTACACTTTGTGGAACTCAGCTGGAAGTAGCCCTTCAGTATGGTCTTCATGCATCCGGTATAGAGCACTCATTGTTGACCCCAAAAGCTTAGTTCTAGATTATTTTCCCCAGAAGAAAACTTCCCAGCTAGAGATTGGTTCCCTAAACCCAGAAAATGGTTTCCTATGTGCCACTAGTATCGTGAATTAGGGGCCAGTAATCTAGATCATTCAAAACAAATTCCGAGCTCACCCTATTAAACCACCAGAAGAACTTCCCAAGGATGAGTTTGAGTTACAGCATTGTCTTTCACTATGAAAGACAGCACATTCTTTTGCCACATGCATCATGTGTCCTGAGAACACCAAAGTGAAGAGTAAGAAATCAAAGTATAAAATGTACAGTACAGAAAACATTAATTCTCAAGATTAACTTGTAAAGTCAAATTGCAAAACATGTGTCATTTATAACTATTTTTTTGTATTCATCTTATCTTTGGGAGAAGCACAATGTTGTAGAACACACCACATACATCCCTCACATTTCTTTAACACGTACAGTATACCAAGCCGTACCAGGCAATATGCTAGAATCGGAGCTAGGTAAGTTGCAAGTTCTCTAGAGGTAACTGTTGAACCACATTTGTATTTTATAACTAAATAGACATACATACATAAATGCAGGAGTGAAATAGCTTCCATTCCATTAGGAATATGCAGACTTACAAGTTTTGGTTAGGACATAATTATAAAAACAATTCTGTTTTTTCAAATTGTTAGTCACTTTCCCCAATACAATATTAAACACCTCTTCCTGGTTGACGTTTTATGATTATTAGTTGCATTTTACATTTCTTACCCGAGCTGGATTGCTGCCCTCCAAGGTAGTGGTTGCAGTAGATGCCTTGAAATTTATATTTTTAGAGCTTTTCTTCAAAGGCAATTTAAAAAATAAAGAAAACATATGTAAAAGTCATCAAGATGCATTGCCTCCAGAAATCGATTTTTTTAAATACAGTCTATTTTGTGGGTAGTGCCACTAAAAAAAGTAAAATAACGAGAAAAAAAATTTGTGTGGCTTTGTCCTGTGTGTGTGTTTTTTGTTTTTTTGTTTTTTAAAGAATGCTTGTTCTTAGGGTTGCTGTTGATTTGGCCTGTAGTTACTAGAGAGACTCCAAGGAACTCATTCCCTTTATGGTTCATGTCTAGGCATGCCTGGAGACCAGGGAGACCCATGATTTAATCTAAGTAAGAATGCTTGTGGTGTTTTAAATGACCAAACAGAAGACTGCATTTGTTTTAGACAAAACCAGGAAGGTACCTTTCAGAGAGATTGTTTACTGTTTTATTGAATTTCTGGGCTTTTGGTGATTCGGGTGATGGGCAAGGAGTGCTAAGGAGAGGGGATGGGGTTGGTGATTAGGAACAAACCCAGAAGGGTATAGAACACATATATCTTCTGTTTTAGCTTTGGAGAATTTGTATTAGTTAAATTTACCACTCCTCGATAAAAGACTGGAGTGATGGGGACTGGGAACTACAAAAAGATGGAGACAAACTTACTCCCTTTTAAC